CCCAGATTAAAGGTGTTCATTCTTATGGTGTCAGGATGTGCCATTTAGACACACTGGAAGCATCCTTGTCTTTTTTATGTTCTTGAATTCTCTACAATTGCCAGTCATGGAATTCGACTGTTAGCTTCTAAATTTATCACAGAATCTGTACATGGTTCATAAAACCTGTGCCATTTTGCAAATATAACTGACAGGCCGACCCCCCCTCATTTGCTGGTGCCCTCCAAGCCTCCGCCAGTGACATCCCAATGGACCTTTGCTTGGGTCTCAGGCTTCGGCCAGAACATGCCAGGGGAATGAATGCTTCTCAAAACTGGCAAACTTGCTTCTTTGCTTTTGCAGACCATAGCAGGCATGTGCAGGGTGGGGTGGCCATATTAAAAATGGAGAGAAAGTCAGCCTTACAGAATCATATCAAGACGTGGATATGACTTCCATGCTGATTCCCAAAGCATTACAAGCCATGCATGCCCTCTTAAGATCCTCCTACCAGGGTTCTGTATCATGAGAAAGGATGTCACACTGTTGATTCCCAATGAGACTCATTATCCTCAAGGATCAGGGCAACAGATGACACTCTCAGATGTTTGCTAAGTAGAGCTTTCCTTTATTCAGTTTCTTTCCACCTTTCTCCACAAAGGTGGTCCTCTAGGTAGCTAATACTAAAATGAATTAGACAAGCCAGTGTAAAAACATACAACAGATAAATTAAAACATCGACCAGCTTTAAAACATCCTCCGCGTTGGTATAAGCAGAGCTGCAACATCCTTACAAATTTTCCTGAATTATGCTCTTCTCGTTTCAGAGGTGGGGAGACAATTTTGAAAACTCCCCACACTTGGAAACTTAGCATGTCATGAAGAAAATGAAAACATATTTCCCCTGTTATTTTATTTCTTCTTTTAAAAGGTGGAAACCTCCAAGCATGCAAAGACCAGCCTGCCAGCTGACAAGCTAAATTCACCTTGTGGTTATACAAACCATTCATTTTAGTCATTGGGGTCAAGTGATACACATAATTTTTGCCTGCCTGCCTGCCTGCCTGCCTGCCTGCCTGCCTGCCTGCCTGCCTGCCTGCCTGCCTGCCTGCCTGCCTGCCTGCCTGCCTGCCTGCCTGCCTGCCTGCCTGCCTGCCTGCCTGCCTGCCTGCCTGCCTGCCTGCCTGCCTGCCTGCCTGCCTGCCTGCCTGCCTGCCTGCCTGCCTGCCTGCCTGCCTGCCTGCCTGCCTGCCTGCCTGCCTGCCTGCCTGCCTGCCTGCCTGCCTGCCTTCCAGTAAACACATATGACATTTTATTAAGATATTTTTATAACTAGCTTCTTTGTTGAGACTGAATTATCATTGCAGTAGTTTATCTTGTAATGAATTAAATTCTTTTACAGTCATTTTCTAGGTCATTTAAACCTCACTGTAAGTATAACCTATTGCAGTTCCAGTAAGACAGTGAACTTGGGATGGTAATCAGCACCTCTGGAAAACTGTGGCCGAACATAAAATTGCAGATATAGCGATTTCTGACTGTGGCGTAATTTTCTGGCACATTATTTAAATATGCATTTGGTCCTGAGCCAGCTCTCCCTTTCGCTGCTGCTCTTCCAAAACTAACGAGGCGCCCAGGGAATTTCCGTCTCGTGGGCAGGAGCAATCGCACGTGGAGCCAGCTTGCAGAAAGCGCGTCTGACTGACCGAGTCTGATCTAAATACTTTTAAAAAGCTGCAAGGGAACAAATTTACTGGAAAAATAGGAGAGTCAGCAAGAGAAGTAGAAGGAAGGTGAAGATCGTGTGGTGTAGAGCTAGACGAAGAGTTGACATGACACCCTTTGTGCAGACAGTACTAATTCTTAATGGTATCCCATGCTCCACCCAGCACTCTGTCCAAAAAAAACCTCCGGTTCCCCCATGACAGAAATGAAAAGCCTGCTTTCCCCAAGAATAACATTTGTAAGTTTGCAGACATTCATTTATTACATAAATAAATTAGTATATGGTATCAATATCATTACCATGCTTTTTTATTGTTGTTTATGGCACATTTTTAAGAACATTTAAATTGCAATTGTATCGTAAGGAAGTACGAACAAAAATATTCATTCCAATGGTAGCTGAAAGATGTGATAATATTACTGAGTACAAATTTTACTGCTATAGTAACTGTTAAAACACAAAGGTACTGTAATATTTTTTATGAAAACCGTGCCTTAGAGCTGGACTCTCCCTGCGTCTTATTAGCCGCGTGTAACACCAGTGGAGAACCTCTGATTTAAACCACCTTGATGGGTCAACTAAGGAAAGATACAGCATTTCATTGAGATGTAGGAACATCCAAGCCATGGTACATGACAAAATTTTAGACTCAGAGCTTTAAATGTTTTTATGGGGGGGAGGGGAGTACTTACATCAGCTTGTAGAATATTCTTTGTTTTTACTGAAGCTGAGAGATTTATCCAGTAGAGTCTGGTGAAAAATAACAGGAATGTAGCCCCTTGTTTGCACCACTCTACAGATGAGTCCACCCAACCGAGAAAAAAGGCACATTGATTAATATTCCATGCCTACCATGGCTGTCTTCTCTTGAAACCTTGTTGTTGATTTTGACTACTGTGGCTTTTGCAGTTTTTGCCATATGTGTCACAACCTAACTGGACTCAGTTTATTGGCCATGTGTTGTGGTCATGCAGCAGCAGATCTGCACAAATGGAACGGTTCTAGTTGTCAACCCTAGAACAGACCCTACATTTGCAATTAGGCCCAAAGCCAGCATTTGCTAATTTGTTCTAAGCAGACCCCTCTGAGGGGGAACATATGGCTGTGAAAAAGGACTGAGCAAGTTGTTTTTTGTGAAATATACTAATTTCATCTGACCTAGTTTACTTGACCTCAGCAAATGTGCAGACAAGAAGGACCACAGACAATGTAGCCAAACCTGTTGTTTAAACATACATTAGTAATCCCATTAACAGATGGATAAGGGTTAGAAATGGGCACGAACTGGAAAAACGAACCAGAAAGTTTGGGGGAAATCACTGGTTCATTGGTTTGGGTCAGTTTGGCTTTGTCAAAACTAACAAACCCAACCAAACCCCAACCACAAACCTTTTTTGCGATTTCATGAACTTTCTGGTTTGTTTCCCCACCTACCCCCCACAGCCTGATCCCTGCCTTCTTCCCACTGCCTCCTTCTCTTCTGGGAGCCGAGCCTCCTGTCCCTGCGCATGTGCCCACCTGTCAGCTGATAGGCAGGCGCATTTGCAGAAACTGCTGTCTCTCAAGATGGCAGAAGAGGAGGAGGAGGAGGAAGAGGAGGAGGCAGCAGGACCAGGTAGAGAGGTGATGGGGGCCGTGGGAAGGGGGCAGGCTGTGGGGGGTGATGGGTTTAATTTCCCTTCCCCCAAGGCACATAGTTTTTTTAAAAATACAAACTGGTTCATGGTTTGTTTTTGAAGAAAATTTAGATGGTTTGTGGGTAGCCACGAATCATGAACTACCATTTCTGTGGTTTCTGCCCATCTCTAGTAAAATTACATAGTAAGGCGCAATGAATATAGGAGTATCTGTTTTGAGGGCTCCCTCATATTGTGGTGGTTCAGTTGTGGACTTAGCTGAGACCAGGCAGTAAGTGTTGAAGGGTATCAGCCGGGGAGTGCCGCTGGAAACCATGACTAATCACCATAGCCCCTTATAGGTTTGGTTCCTGTGCGAAATCAGTGCAGGAAGCAACTGTTGTTTTTAGATGCTATTGTTTGGGGACAGCTTCGTGAAATCTTCTGGATGTCTCTTGACCGTCAGACCGGACCTTGAAGGGTGTGATTCATAACAAGTATCCTGTCTCCTGTTAAAAAATGTTGACTACTAGAGGGTAGAATGGGGCCTTTACCAGTTAAAAAATTAAAAATAATTTATGGGTTTTTGCAGGTGAGTCTCTCCAAGTTCAAAGAGCCATATGCAGGCCTTGGATATCTCACAGTTGTCCGTCCCTGGCTTAAAGCCACTTGGTGAGTTTATGACTGAGATGATATTTGGAATTGAGCTTTCTCAGATTATTATTCATACTCTTTAATCATTACTCTTTTAGCACCTCTATTCAGACATCTCTAAAATCCTCTAATTCTATCAGAGCTGAATTGACCATTATTTCAAATTTGATATGGCACAGGTTGGATGTCCAGTGTATGCTTAATTACAAAAGATTGTGGAATGCATAGATGGAAGAAGTAGGAGAAGGTCTAAAGGAATGGGAGAGAGCTGTAAACATAGATAGTTTGGAAAAATTGTTAGATTGTTTACTTATGTGATTTCCCTTTTAACATAACTAAGTAAGTGGATGTAAGAATACTCTTTCTCTCTCTGGAGTTTTCCCTACCTTCCACCCACCACCCCCTATCTATTCTTTCCTTATTCCCTTGTACCCACGCCCCAACCCTCACCCTTATTGAAAACAAATAAAACATTAACATATATAATTACAAAAGATTACTATAATGAAATGTCCACCATTGCTACATGGCTGAGCATGGTGGCTTGCCTTTCAGTTGATGAGAAGGAAAACAAGAACTGTTTGCCGGGTAATGAAATGTTGGAAAGGGGCTCTAGCAGCAATCATTTGCCACCTTTAGGCCTCCAGATGTGGCTGAATACCAGTTCCTGTGATTCTTGCCATTCTGTCTGTAGACCCAAGATTGGGTCAAGATGTCACCCAAAGCCTCCTGTATGCCTTACATATATTTTTGTTGTTTTGGTATCAAAATTATTACCTGAGATGCTTTATGAAGTACACCTGCCCTAAGGTAGATGCTCATGACCAACTAAGTTTGGAATCAGGAGAGTGTGTTTTTGGAAAAAGTCTTTACGGATCTGTGCACCCAGATTCAAAGCTTCTATCTGGCCAGGACATGCTACCAGCCATTGGAAGTACCATTTGCCATGGGAGATGAAATACAAAGCAGTAAATTAAAAATCAGGCAGATATGGGTGTCTGCTTTCTTTCAAAATGGATGCAGAAATGGGATAACATTGATGAAGGGACACATCAGAAGCTAACCCAAATCATGTAGGCCTTTGAAGGTGAGCACCAGCAGTTTGAATGGGACCCAGATATAAACCAGCACACAGGACATTTCCTGTACAAGTAAAATATGGTCTCAGTGTCTGTTCCCATTTTCTAGCATTGTCTTCAAAGCACTTAAGAGTGACAAAAATCTATCAGGGTCACATGAGCCAAATGAAGCCCAGTTAGATTGTTTCATAAATTTCTGGCCACACAATACATGGCCACAAACAACTCATTTTCCCTGTCAGAGGTTTATCTGCGTTTATTGCCCCCCTTGCCGGGAAGGTTGTGTTATTTTGTACCAATGACATATCGATTCATTTTGTACTGGTATTATTTCCTTTGCAAAGGGATCGGGTTTCTGGGTGCTGTGGGGAGGGGGAACCAAATTAGATTAACAGGCACAAAGTGTGTGACCTGCCATACAATTGCTATCTGTGTCAGGTGTTGTCTCACCTCTCCCTGGTTACCCCTCCTCGTTCCTTTGGCGGATGGGATGGGGTAGATAAGGCATGGAGACCAGCAGCTGGGGGAGGGTGGAATCTCATCCAGGCCCTTCCAGAGGGTGCAAATCAGAGGGGAAAAGGTCACAATCCAAAGCTCTTTCCAATTGACCAACTGCCTTGTCCTAGATCTCTCATCACAACTTCCAGTCTCTTGTCTGCAGTCTGTTCTCAACAGCCTTGTCTGGGGTGTGCAGGGGTGGGGAGGGTTGCTTCTCTGCTGTCTTTTTTTAAAAAAAAACTCTTTGCTCTTGCAAAGTACTGTATCATGCTTCTTTGCAAAGCAACTTCTGTCTCCATCTGAAAGGAGACAGCCTCCCTTTGACTGAAGGCTTGAGCATTGACATTTGGATTATAAAGAAAGGAGGGTTGTTCCTCCTCTCTCTCAATCTCTCTCTTTTTAACCCTCTGCTTTTGCAAAGGACCATGCTCCTTTGCAAAGGGGAAGGGGAGGAGAAGAGAAGGCTCATATTGTATCTCTCCTTGCACCACAATTTTTTTAAGTAAGGGGCAGCAGTTGCCCAAGGAAACCTCAGAGAAAATAAATTGACTCCATAGTGTAGCTGGCCATAACATATCAAATAGGAAGAAATGAACTGGTATTGTAATTCATCCAGTGCAACAGAGTTATGAAAATAATCAATAGAACTAGGGTTCATTTGGCTCGTGTGATCAGGGCCTCACTTTTGCTTTCTTGGTCAGCTGTTATTGTTTTTTAAGCCCTCCATTTGTTTCCATCCTGAATTGGAAAAAATTTGCAATTTTTGTTAGGTTCTTGTTAACCACAAACTGAAATGAAATTATCCTCCGCCTCTACCAGCCTAATGCAGAAGATATTGCTTTGTGTAGCTTGGAGAGGCCCTTGTTTTACCTGCTGGTTATATAGGGGAATCCTCAGACAACCTTAGGATGTTTTTGTAGCTCTGGACTCCTGGAATCCCCTGTCTCTGAAATGGTTTACTCAGCAAAAATGCAATGTACTGTCACATGATGAAACCTTCAGGAAGGGCAGTTTACCTTTCCGCCTTTATCAAAGCACAGGGCCCAGATGAGCAAGCTTCCATTTCTCTCAGTTTTTTCACACTCAAGTTTTTTTTTCCTTCCTGAATATTAAGACTAGAGATGGGCATGAATTAATTCGTACTGCTTCATACAGAATAAACCGTGCTGTACCATAGGTGCCGTGAGGATCCTCCCACCACCCCCTGGGCTGGCTGACCAATCATTATCCGTTGTGGCCCTCTGGGGCCCTCCTTCTCCTGCAGCACTCCAATCCAGGCAGGAGCTTGGGCAGCCCATCCTCACCTGCTTGGCAGCTAACCCTACTCTGATGAGGAGGCAGAATGAAATTCTCTCCATACAGCCAATAGCAGCTAACCCTACTCTGATGAGGAGGCAGGATGGAAATTCTCTCTGTACAGCCAATAAGTGGTTGGCTGCTGGAGGAGGCAGGGACAAGCAGCCCCAGCTCCTGCCCAGACTGGAGTGCCACCAGAGAAGGAAGGTGCAACGGATGGTGAGTGGGCCAGCCAGTCTGGGGTGTGGAGGGAAGGTCCTTAGGGCACCTCTGGCACAGCACGGTTTACATGAAATTAATTCATGTCCATCTCTAATTAAGACCTTTGCCAAATTTGGCAAATTCTTTTCGAAATCAGAAATGAAATTCTTACCTGTCCCCATAAGGAGAGAAGCAACAATTCATAACAGTCCCAGCACAATGGAATGGTGTCAGATATTGTCACATTTGTGTCAGTCATGGGACAGTTAATATTCAGAGCAAGCCAGGCATCAATATCTGAAAATTTTTGAAGGGGAAATTCTTTTCTGTTTTTTTCCCCAAAGGAATTGATTTCTAGTGTGTTAAAAAGTGGGTGAATACTCCAGTTTGGAAGTTGTTAAACGTTAACATTTTAAAATGAATAAATCTGGCATATGTTCTACTCTCCCTGCATAGACAGAACATTTTTTTCCCCAAAAGAAAACCATGGAAGTATTCTGGGATACTTTTGCGGCTCAAAGAACATATCACACTTGGCAGTCTCCCTCTGTCTGACTTTGTAAACAGCATGAATATTGTTGTGTTGGGCTGGGGGGGGGGGACTCCATTTTTATCTGGCTCCTGCAGGTCCGGCTCAAGAGATGCTGAAGTATTTAAGAAGTACCAAAACGACATCCAAACTGTGCAGAAAGCCTGGCAGAAAATTTCAGTCTGAGAACAAAGCCTCCTCCATCCTTCCTCCAGAGACCAAACACATTTTGTCCGTGAGACACTTTACTCTCCATCTGCCTTGAAAAGGGATGTTATCCGTAAGCAACAGGCTGGGCTACTACATCAATACGCTAAGCGACTCTCTGAAACATAACTGAATGTCAAGTAACTGAAGTCCAAATCGAAAAAGATCAAATGCACATGTTCCATGAAGACAAAATATGTAAACTATAACTCCTTTGCTGTACATTTCTTGCTAATAATGGGAAGTAATACATCACCCAGTGGTTCATAATTAATACATGAAATTTAAATTAATAACTTCCCAAAACCATCTAGTGAGACACTTCTGGAATTATAGCTTTTAGGAAGGAAATTTAAAAACACACTCATTTACAAGGCAATGCTGCCATTTTCCACATGCACAATGGCGTTTTATTTTTCTTATAGCTTGGAACAAGCCAGCTCATTTTGGACAATTGTGATTAAGGCCGTATTCATGTTTGCCAACGATCTTCTGTACAGATTTATTTTCAGATGGGAAAGAAGTAATTGTGAGCCACTTCATATGGATCATGTGATGCAAATGTTCCTTAATTGCACCCATAAATATGCAGATTTTAAGATTTTCCCTGCCAGAGTCTTACAGCCTATAGCCAAGCAGGGAGGAAGATTCATAGTTGTTCACAGCAATTTGCTTTGAATTTTTAAGCTTGTAATCTTAGGCATACTTGCTTGAGAGTCAGTTTCTCATTTATCTTGTCTTCACACAGAATCAAGGAAATACAGAACTGTTCTACATTGCCCTCCGGGAAATGATGAGGTATTTTGGGGAACTCTTGACAAGAAAATGAGAATTAGAGTGATTTTCCCCTCACATATTAAAAAAAAGTGTGCAAATAATGCTTTGACGCAAGTAACACAATTGGCACAAAATGGTGATGGCTGCTGCTTTGCTGCATGGACTTTTAAAGATCAGAAGCACTGATGGGGGTTTAGTGTCCTTTTGAAGATCACTCAGTCATTTTATGCTCATTATATGTGTGTTTTGCTTCTCCAAGAGAAAAGACACTAACTTTGAGCAGGGCCAACGTGTTCAAAGTCTAGAAGTAGGGAAAAGTAGTATTCATTGTCTCACTCTTATCTGGAGAGAAGGAAATCATGCAGGGCTTTAAAATTCCTAGATTTCTACAAAAAGCCTACATTCATGAGAACAAAGGATTTGATGAGATTTGTTCATGCCCCTAACAGGGAAACTGTCAAATATGTTTAGGCTAGGTTTCATAGAGATCAAGCAAGGATTCTTCCATTTCTGCATCTTTCAGGAGCTGAATGAATGAATGTTGATGAGTGTCTCTCATCAGGACAACACTCTAGCTGAACCATCTTAATAGACTTCAAAGTGAAGCAGGAAGATCAAGTAAAATGGGGCTGCTTGGATACAGGACAATTTTTCTGTGACTGTGGAGAAATTCAATCAACGCAGCACCTCGTGTGTGCCATTTATCCCCCACCACATGTACATACAAAAGAAGATCTAGCAAATGGCCGAGATAGCACTATTGAAGTAGCCTGCTCTAGTCTAAAATAATTTAATTATCTTAACATTTTAATTTGTTTTTAATTTTGCCTATATTTCATATGTATCCATAATTTTGAAACATTCAAAGGAAGGAAGGAAGGAAGGAAGGAAGGAAGGAAGGAAGGAAGGAAGGAAGGAAGAGCAAGCTGTGGTAGTGCCAGAGGATACCCTGCTTTCTGTCATGGAATCCTCCTCAATCTCTGGAGTCAGGTGGCACAGAGGAAAAGACAGCTGATTTGGTTGCTGATGCTGGACCCCAAAGAAAAGTTGCAGAAATCCCTCCTGCAGAGGTAGGGAGCCCAGGGCTAGAACTCAAGGAAGTAAAAAGGATGTCCTCCCTATCCAGCACCTCTAAGCAAAGGCACAAGACAGAAAGGGCTAAGAGACAAGAGAGGCCTCCTGTTAAGTAAGGGGTCTCCTTGGGAGGGGGTGTTTCTCCTGTTGGGGAGACTTGATACTGTAAAGTCTTCAGCAGCAGCATGGGTGAAACAAAGCCCGGCTCAGCTACAAGAAGGTCAGCTGAAGGCAGAGAACATTACTAGGAACATTGTTTGCTGGTACATGGATTGCTGACATTGCTCCATCTTGAACCTTCTGCCTGCTTTGCCTCTTTGTGAATGATCTGGTGGTCTCTACCCCTCTCTTCTCTTGTGTTCTCAGCTTGTTGGTTTCTGGCTTGGTTTATCTCCTAGCATCTTGACTTTGATATTTCAACTGAGACCCCAGTAGAACTGTGATTTCTAGCATAACCTGGCTTGTAATTGGACCATTCTTTTGTTTTGTACAGCAGTCTGGACTTCCCTTGCTGGTCACCACTGAGAAACTGTTTACCAGTATAGGTTGATCCATGGCCAGCGGGACAATAGCAGTTAAAGAACAGGATGCACTTCTGAAGTTCTTGGTGGAACTCTGGAGCTTTCCACTTCTGACTGTGGATGTGAAAGTCACTCTTTAAGATAGTCCTCCAGAAGCAGTAAGTGAAGGCATTCAAGATACAGTGGTGCCTCGCAGAACGAGTGCACCGTAGAGCGATGAATTCACTCTACGGTGACACTTTTTCAATCGTTAATGCGATCACAGAGCGATGGCCCCAATGGGTGAAAATCGCAGAGCGAAGGGCAGTAAGCGGTTCGCTTACCGACCTTCGCTTTGCGACCCGCCGATCAGCTGTTCCGCGGCAACAAAATGGCCGCCGGAAGCCCCAAAATGGCCACACGCAGCATTTTCGTGCCCTTGTTAAGCGAGGGGAGGGCGTGAAAATGGCTGCCGGCCATTGAAAAACATCGCTGAACGGGGAGTAAATCAGCCGATTGGAACGCCTTAAACTAAGTTTAATGCATTCCAATGGCTTTTTACTTTCCGCACAGTGATGTTTCACACAGCGAGGGTTAATCCGGGACAGATTAACCTCGCTGTGCGAGGCACCACTATAATGGGTTACACCAGTTCTTGTTTCTTATGCTCTTCTACCTTGGCTATGAGGATAACTTTTGCAATCCATTCTTTTTTCCAGCGGTGAGATATATGATGCAATGCACAGCTTGTGAAGGAGAAGAGATGCAGATTTGGAACTCAAAACAGAGGCAGAAAAGCCTGCATTTATGTTGGAGCTTAATAAAGATAGCCTGAGAGAAGACAATGAGGAGTACAAGGAAGAAATTCACCCGCCCAGATGTGACAAGCCATGGCTAATTTCCACCCTTCTGCATTTTATTATCCTATAAACTGGAGCGCAGGAGTGAGATTCCTCTTCAGTCCCAAATGGGCCACTTCAGCAATCAATGTGCACATGGCTTTGAGATAAAGATGCCTTGCAGACAAAGGCTGTATCACCTCTGGTCCTGCAATTCTGTGATTCCACATTCTTGCTCATTTGAATGCCAAACAAACAATTCTTTTCAAGTTGTTTCCATTCAAGAGAAACTGGGGAGTGTGTGTGTGTGTGTGTGTGTGTGTGGGAGACAGTTGTTTCCATTCAAGAGAAACTGGGGAGTATGTGTGTGTGGTGGGGGAGGCACACAGAAAACACCTAACCCAGCATCTACCACAGAAGGCAAGATGGGTGAGAAATGAGAGCAGGATCATTTGGGCTTCCAGGAGTGTAAGAACCAGATTTATTGTCACCATATTTATACTAAATCATCTCGTGTGTGGTGCTGTACAACATCCAAGTCAGAAGGCCACCAGGGCGACTACCATTTCAAATGAAAAATGGTTTTTCGGTAGGGTTTAATGCAGCACAGATGGCAAGTTGTGCTTTGCCGTTTTGCTGTTTCTGTGTGTTACCTGAGCAATAAATATTGGTCAAATCAAGAAATCATTTCTAAGGTTCAGTGTAACTTATTTCACTCCCCCACCCCCATCCCCCATATCCACTGCTATGGTTATATATAGAGACGGGGACAAATAAAAAAAATATGGTGATTTGTTTTTGATCCGTTATTCATCAGTGTTAATGGATAAACAAATATAAATATACGAATATTCTTTGACAAATTGAATATTAGTGCTATAGCCGTTAAATGGCTATAACACTGCCCTCCAAAGACCGAGAGATACCAATCTGAAACCGTACGATGGGGCGACGCCGGGACAGGCTTTAGGTGGGTCTGAGACAGGCATAAGAAACTCACTTATCATTCACCACTATCTAACTAGACTTGCTGACAACCTTCAAAGAAACAAAGGTGTTCATTTAGAACTAGAAAGCTGGGGGGGGGGGTGCAACTTGGCTGCTGAGACCGCCTGGATATGATAAAGATAGCCCTCTGAGGTTTTGGGGGGCTGAGACAGGCTGGCCCTCTTGCCACGTTCAGGGGTGCTGGGACAGGCTCTGGGTGTGCCAAGAAAGGGTTTAGGCTTAGATGCCAAGAGGGCAGGCCTGGGTCTGCCCCACCCAAAGGTTATCTGTGCTTCACCCCAGCGACTGGAATCTAACTGGATTGGCTGGATTTCTGACTGAGGGGCAGGTTTACAGGCCGGCAGGCAGGTAGGCAGGGCTATTTTCACCCCAGGAGGACTGGAGAGTGGGTAAGTGGGCAGGCGGGTGCAGGCAGACAGGCAGGCAGTGTGTTAAGGGAGAGACTGTCATTAGAACCCTACCTCTTTGGGTACAGTGAGGGGAAGCCCAACAAGGGAAGGTTCGGCAGTCTCTCCACAGTAACGGGATCCAAACGCAAGCGGTGTGGTCGGAATATGTCTCCGAGATGGGAAAACATGCACTCACTCTGGATGCTGGTGTGTGTGGGGGGATGGAAAGGAGGTCCATGGCCACATTGGACAACTCCGGCTGACAGCGGGCATGACCTACATCCTACGGACTGGAAAGGTTAGGCGGGGAAAACGCCAAATTCTGGTCCGTAGGTCGATTCTCTGGCCGCAAGTCGAAGTGAAACTTTGCGGCCGGAGAAGTCCGTAGGTCAAAAAGTTCGTAAGTGGAGCTGCACGTAAGTTGGGACTCCACTGTAAGTCTTTTGCTTTGCTGCCGCAAATGCGAAACCGCAAGAGCACCAGCAAGCCAGCGAGCAGCAACTGTTCTCACTCCAGAGAGCACGAAGAGAAGTGAGGAACAGCCAGACGGCTTATATGAAGCGTCTGTAAAAGTAAATACACCTTTCAACAATGCTATTGGCTACAGGACATGCCAATCCAGGATCTCTGTCCTGATTGGCCAGAGCTTCAAATTGGTGCCAGCAAGCTCAGAGAGGCCCCCCAAATGGGTAATGGATATAAATGAATATGAACAGATTGACAAATAAAACCGAGGAAATATTCGTCAAGCCATATTACAAATATGGATCGACGAATATATGACAAAGCGGCTATATTCGTCAGAAAAACTGGTCCGTTTTTATATTCGTCCCCATCTCTAGTTATACAGTCCCCAAGAGAATGTGTGCAGGTCTATATTCGTCAGAAAAACTGATCCATTTTTAAATTCGTCCCCATCTCTAGTTATAGAGTCCCCAAGAGAATGTGTGCAGGTCCCTCTTTATAAGCCATTTCAAGGAAAACTAACAAAGGACAGTGAGTGGCAAGTAAGGGCCTCTGTTTGAAATCGATACTTGCTCCTGCTCCTCGTGTATGGCAGCCTAAGCTTTCACTTTGGTTCCATTACAGACAGTCCCTACTTGTTTAGCTGTATTTATCATATTGTTTAATGGTTCTGAACTTCAGATTATCTTACATAATTCACAATATAGCTCAGTAATTGTATTCAATTAGAAGGGGAAAGTCTTCACTCTTGTCAAGATATGAGATATGACTCCCTGAAAGAATTACGTGTAAAACCCAAGGACATGAGTTAAACTGATGCTGTACTTGCAGGTAAGAACCACTCTGTGTTAAACACCAGGATCAATTTAATTCAGGGGGTGGGTAAACAAAGAGTCTTACCTTCCCGCTTACCCTTTTCCTGGTTTCGACTGTGTGCGTGATTCCATTTCACATCAAACTGATACTGCTGGAGGGGGTGCTTAGGAAGCTTCTCCTTGCTATGGAGAGGAATGGAATTCATGACAGCTGGCAAGAGGTTGAAAAGAAAAAGAAAGAGACTTGTCAACTTTAAAGTTAAAGAGGTGTGCGTGTGTGTGTGTGTGTGCATGCATGCGCGCGTGCGTGTGCGTGCTAGGCTGTGTGTGCGCGCGCGTGCGTGCGTGCGTGCTAGGCAAAGCCAGCTAATGATGCTACCTTCAGAAAGGTGCTTTTGTATTTGCTCCAGGAAGGGAAAGAGCGATGTGGCAAAAACGATTTTATCAAATGCATGGGTTTTTAATACTTGAGCAGCTGTCTTAGACTCTGTCCTTTGCTAGCCACAAAAATGTACACATGCGCACACACGCACGCACACTTCAAAGTTTTCTTTTCTCAAAGGAAAGGATGTGAAGAATACCTGCTTAGAATTCCCCCTTCTTGAAGAGGCAGTCTGTTTCCACACACCAAGGCTACCTGTTCCACAAGCACTACTTCCCATACAATGTCTTGCTGCTGATCTAAGAAAGAAATACGGGCGTGGGGGCGTGGGAAGGCAACCAGACCTTTGACCTAGGCCAAACTTTACAGGGTACATGTTTGCTGCTGGAAGGATGCAAACCTACCCCATGGGTGCTTCCCATTGAAAGATTGCAAACCAGCATGTATTAAGCATGTATGTTTCCTCCAGTCACCTCTCTCCCAGAGAAGGAAACACAGAGCTGAGCTCAGACCTAATATGGCCCTTGCGCACCTAGGCCCAGGTGTTCCTTCCCCACTGCCCCACCCTCTTCCAGTGTACGCCAGTCTTATCTAACCCAAGCTTAATCCCTTTACAATAAAGGCAATAAAGCTACATTGTCTGCCCAGTCTTATCTAACCCAAGCTTAATCCCTTTGCAATAAAGGCAATAAAGCTACATTGCCTGCCCTACACACACACACACACACACACACACACAGAGAGAGAGAGAGAGAGAGAGAGAGAGAGAGAGAGCAGGTAGCCTACTTGTTTGATCAAAAGACACAAAGAACCCATCCGGTGCCTCTAAAAGTCTGTGCAACAAGGCATGGCTATTCTGGTTTTGCGCGGCTTGCTCAAAAGTCATTCTTCCTGACGTGAGAACGCTCGCCAAGACTTTCAGAAAACATCTTGCCATTTCCCCAGGAGAGGATGATGATTTATAATGTTGATTTGCATTTGCTGAGGCTACCATCCTAGGGAATTTACTTCGAAGTAAGCTCGCATCAGGTTATGTGTTATACAGTATCTGTCCCAGTGCAAATTATAATCCCTCGGCTGAATGATAAAGCTGTTCTAGCAGGATAGTCTTGGCTACCTATACAATATAAATTATATAAACTTTACATGTTTAATGAGTCCCTGAGTAGTTTTTATTGTGGCTTAAAGCACTTTCCCTTTCTGCCCCAGGCTTTCCTTTATCTATCCACTGCTATTTTTATGCATCTTTTTGTAAGGGATGTCATTTTGCAGTCAATCTGTTTTAAGTCACCAAGGCCAGGCTCTCACCTTTTCTTCTAGAACTGAGAGTTCCAGTGTTGTTCGAATGCTCAAATTCGATATGAGTAATAGCCACCGCCTCCTCATTAACCCTGTAGTTGCAGCTCCTCAGTCCTGCTCACTGTTGTCTGAGTCTTTCCACTATTCTGAGTTGTCACAGTGCATAAGAAAGTTTTCCCTTGGGACTTCCAGCAGGATTGCATTATGAGAGCTGTTTCTTGAAATAATACCTAGAGCATTGCAAGGAATCCTCTTGTAATACCTCTGCCATTTGACGGCAGCTAGAGGCTGGGAGGCTCCACTAGCAACTTTTGGCTTTTCCTCCTCGATTCTCTGCCTCTTCTCCTGCTTAGAAGAAGGGTGTGCGCTCCACAGCCTCCCTGGACCATTCAATTAGCCTGCTGCCTTCAAATATGGTGGAAGACATCATCCCATCAGCAGGGTTGAAGTAAGATGTGGAGGAAGGCCCCATCTTATTCTTCACTTCAGGCTGCAAAATGTCTTGATCTAACCCTGGATCCTCACCCTTTGCTCATAAAAGCCCCTCCCCCCTTTATCTACAATTAATGTATTTCTTTCATGTGCCAAATTGGGGGAAACCGGCACAGTTTAATATTGTCACTGGGTGGCATCTTATTGTTAGTATCACTTATTGAATCAATAAGTTTTACGTAAGTGTTGGCTTACCATTTGCCAATTGATTCCATGGAAGTAGCCTGAGGTGGAGACAAGCAATCGGATACTGGCTGCTGTGTTTTGTAGCAAGAGATAACATGGGCACAAAAATGGCTATGTGGGTGGTTCAAACTTTGGGTTAATTTATTGCATGTAAAAGCAAAGTTAAATAACTGTCAAATTGTTGCACTGTGTACTGATTAATTTCTGCATGCCACCTGGTGGACTCTTTCTATCAGTGCAGTGGAAGGATATATATATATATACATACATACAT